CAAAACCAAAAATTAACGTATGACATCGACGTGAATACGCAGTGATATCTGGCGTCGAACTGACAGTGTGAAATCAAATGTAATGTTACACCAGTTTTTCTGTTAAGTAAAGTACCATGAAGAACTCTTTAAGTAGCAATTCATTTTCCACATCAGCCAGTTTAAATCGTCATACATTTACAACAACTTTTAACCGATTCGCGATTCATCGTTACATGCCTAGTCAGTGGTGATGTGGTACTTTGGCAATTAAAATTTTTTGAATCCCAAAAAAAGTTAAGAACCTCTGCTTTGTACAAAAGTATAGTCAAACCTCCCTTATCCGGACCTCCAATATACAGGCACCTCCCTCTACCGGACAGCTCTAGGCATACGCATCTGCAAATTAATCTTACACAGCCAGCAGCTGTGCAAAATCCATGGCTTCAAAAAGGAAGCGTAGTGTAATGTCCTTCCAAAAGCTCAAACTCATTACAGAGATACAACAAGGAAAATCACAGAGTTGTTGCAGACCATTTTGGAGTGGCTAAGTCTACGGTAGGCAAAAAAAAATAAAAATCTAGAAGCATGCAACAAATAGCGCTAATCCTGCATTAGCTAAGAAGCGTTGTATTGTTAGAGATGCACATTCCCAAAAGCTGAATGAAGCTCATTACCTGTGGTAAATATCATGTAGTTTTTATGTGTACACATGTACATTGTACTGCACTGTTCATGCATTTCTAAGTTACGGGCATTTCTTACTTACGGGCACGTCTTGGTCCCATTATGGCCAGATAAGGGAGGTTTGACTGTAATGATGAAATTCTGTGTGACTGGTTGAAATGAAACTGTTTAGATCCTGTTTCCAAAGAGAGTGAATGAGATAATGCATGTCCCATCACTCAGGAACGGTTGGCAACCCCTCAGCTAAAGTGTTTCACTGAAATAGTTTCAACTCGATTCTTTACCCCCTGTTTTTGTCCTACTAGATAATTTTTGTGTTATTTATCGGAATAGCTTTTCTTAGGTTAGTTTCTAACAGGTTCATTTATGTAGGTATGATCTTGTGCTTGCTGCTGGTCAATCACTGGAGACTCTCAGCCTAGCAGCATATGTACCCAAGGAAGCTCCTTCACATCTGTATTACTCATCTACTTCACTTGCACTTGGCTTTGAACACAAGGGTTTGTGAAATAAATAAATGTAAATATCAGTTTCAACAAAATTAGAATGTGAACAAAAATGTATAACACTATGATCGTACTATTTTGAGATATTTTCCATTAAAGCTCAGCAGTTGCCATAAATTATTACAAACTGTCCAGCATACATTCATATTCATCAATGTCCAAACAATAAAAAAAACAGTATAAGAATCTGCAGGAAGCAGAAACCAGGATGAAAACTGTGACTCGACAGCCCTACTGACAGACAAAGTGCTGAGAGTAGCGATGGGCAATGAGCTGGGAGCTCGGGTAGCTCCTCCATCGGCACATTCCTGCAAATGACAGCCAGTCTAGCGCCACCTCCGATAAGGGCCACTCCAGGGAGCAATTTAATTACATGGTTGAACTGCCTGGGCTTCCATGAGTTAATGTGTCCACACAGTGGTTACCACAGCAACCATCAAGTCACAGTGCAAAGGGGTCTGAGGAGAGAATCATAAAAACAGATTCTGCTATGGCAGTTAGCCATAAATCCAAGACCACCCAGCCCACTTCTCATAACTTGGCTTCTGACAGGAAAAAATGCCACATATTAATTAAAAAGGCAGAATCCCAGGCGGGATTTCAGCATAAAAAGTGTTCGCCCTTTGTGTGCCACCTAGATAGGAATTAACTTTTACATGAATAACCCATTTTTCCCCCTGAAACATTTTTAGACTGAGCTGTTAAGTGAAGCCAAATGGAAATCCATATTTATTGTCACCCATGTAATATAAGAGACGTCACACTGAGCTCACACTGTGTGTACAATGCGCAGTGAAAGGGCAATGCATAACAGTAACCCCGACATGGGAAGGAAGCACATGGCACACGGTGGCCTGTGTAAACAGAACAGAGGACAGTCCATTCTAAGGGCTTCTATTACACAACAACCCCCACACCCATTCCTCAGGCCAAACCTTTTTAGCAGATGAAAACCTAATTTACAGTATATGCATCTACTCAAAATGTATATAGTGACATTGTTTCCATGTTAGTTCCATTGCCATTTTTACTTCAAACCCTAAAATAGAACACTTACGTTTTTAATCTATCTACGATACGATCTAATCTAATCTAAATCACTAATGTTTAAGAACATTAGGCGCTCAATGGGGTTGAGGTCAGAGCTCTGTGCGGGACAGTGCTTGTTTAGCTCCAGACTGTCTTACAATTGATACATTCTGTGTATATTTTAATACACTGGTCAAACTAGGCTGAACTTCTTTTTGCCTCTGATGCAGGCAGTAACTCAACCTAACTGTATGTCAAATGGTCAAAAGACGAGCTTTGATATTTGATATTCTACTGCTCTTCCTGTACAACACAATTACCATTATGATGAAAAGCTCAAACCGTTAAGACAAGAAAATATACGCTAGCTAGAGGCAGTAATATTGAAATGAAGGTGGCTTAACTACCCTGTTGCCAGGCAATACCGTAATACCTTAGGATCTTTATTTACCAGTGAAATGTTCATCTACATAACTAGGGCTACATACAACCAACACATTGATTATTTTAAGTCTGGGGACTGGAAAAAAGATAAATACTCTACCTGATAGAAATCTCTATGGGAAAAGATTTATCTCTGAGGAGATTTATCTCTCTTTCTGTGGAGATTTAATCTTATTTTGTTTTTTTGTTTACAATAATATATAACTATATATAATTAAATATAATTTTCTAAAAAGAAAATGCTGCAAAAACAAAATACGTTATATAGGAGGTACTGCATGTCAAAACAGCCGAGCTGAAGGTGGTCTGGGCCTTGCAGATGCCAATATGAAGGGCTGAAACCTTGTAACAGTTTATCATGCAAAGTGGCATTTGAAAAATTAAATAAAGTGTAATCTGTGTTGGATTATTTTAAGGGACCATCATTCTTGGAATGTTAAGATTTCTACCAATGGCTGAAAGTTTAGCAGCACTTTGACTAAGTAGCAGTCACATGGTTTTACCAATGTTTGACTATAGGGGGCAATGTGTGGCTCTGCAGGTTAGGCCTCCGTGCTTCAGATCAGAAGGTCGAATCCCCTCGTCGGCGAATTTAACTGAATTAAACGGAACACTTGAGTAATGCCCTCTAACCCAATTGCTTCATGGAGTGGCTGACACCATATTCTCAGTTGTAGGACCATTATGCTAGGACCATCATGCATGTTACTTAATGTAGAATTATCCTGTACGTGTCATGCATGAATTCAGAGTAGGAGATAAAACATGATAACATGACCCTCAATTTCCTCTGCAGCTTGTTATATTAAACAAGCCCACTAAGTTTTATTCCCAGAGTCTTCCTGCTGCTGATAACACAAGCATTAACAAAACACTGAGCCTTCCCAAATTCAGCAAATTTAAGAAGTGCTTAATTGCACTGCTTATGATAAACATAAGGCAGTTCTGGAATTCTCAGTTAGTGGAGAGAATTCCAAAGCTTCTTTCCACCTATTTTCCTGTATCCTGGAATTGCTAAATGCTCTTATTTTTAGTGTTGAATTTGATTAAGTCTACACGAACATTTGTTACAGTCTCTAGTGGGGGTAGTGCATTATCTTCACTCCATTTCTGGTATCTTGTACCAGTCTTTTACACATTGTATACACCTGCAAATATTTGTGTCTTAAAAATGAGGACAAAAGAATGAAGTGGGGAACTACAGAAACGTCAGATTCTATATGGCAACAATGCAAATATGAGTTGCTGGAAGACTTCGGGCATCTTGAGTTAATTCTTAACTATAAACCAATTCTTAATTATAATTCTTAAGCTATGGTTACCCCTTATAGTCGCCACAAATTCATGGATACCCAAAACGCAAAATTGTAAACCTTAGCTGTACACCATGTGATGGAATTATTAGCCATGCGTTTACTAAATAAATCAATCAGCCAATTTCCTGTTATAACATTGAATCTGTTCATACAAAGCTAAGGGGTAAATTAAGAGTAGAGGTAGAAATGAGCATTCAGCAGCCTGCAGGAATGCCTGACAGATAATGGTTTGTCTGATAAGACTTCAAAGGAACAAGTGAACGGAGCAGAAAAAGAAACAATACATCCCCTTCAATGGAAACAATTACCTAGCAGCTGGGCTTTGGGTTGTAATAAGTAATATTACAGTGGCAGGAAATCCTATTTATGCAGTTTTATTCTTTCTCAGAGCTGCCGTTTATTTGTGTTATGGGGCCCGGTACAGATGGCATCCGCCGCTATGAGAGCTCCTTCAGTAGTGTGAGATGAAAGCACAGTTTTCCAGGACTGGGCCCTGGCTTCTGGACGCAGTACAGTGCTGCAACACTTGTTCCACGCGGAGGAAATGTGTGAGCGGAAGTCTGGGGAACGTGCAGAGGAGCAGACACCTCAGACGGGCATGGCACGCAGGCAGCCAGATAACATCTGGCCAGAGCCTTACTGAGATGTACTCCTCTGCAATGCGGCCCTCTCATCCTGCCTGGCCAGCACTTCACCCCGGCATATCTGACAGAACAGACTGATTACTCTCCTACAAGCCACATATAGCTGCAACTGGAAGTTTATGGTAAAGCCCAAAATCTCCCTTTCAGCTCATTTTAAAGCTCATTCGACCTTTGTTAGTGACAGTCTAGTTCTAGTTCTGCTTTTAACACATGACTGAAAGGACCAGTACACAGCTGTGAAATCATATCCTAGCCACATCTTCCCACTGCAAGAAATAACTGAGATAACTCAAGTAATTACACTTAGTTTAAAAAAAACACAAACTATGATTTCTCCATGAGTAGAACAGGCTAAACCTCAGAGAAAGAGTGCAAAAGTGAAAGACAAGCCTAACCCTTCTCTTCAGGCGATCTCGTTCCTTCAGTGTCAACGTGTCAGCCTTGGCGATGACGGGCACAATGTTCACTTTGCTGTGGATGGCCTTCATGAATTCTACATCGAGGGGTTTGAGTCTGAAACAAACATGCCATTATCATTGAGCATTTGAGATTAACTCCACACTATTGGTATATGTGAATGTTTTTCCAGACATACAGTATAAGGACAAGAGTATTGGGACACCTGGCCATTACACCCACAGGAACTTTTATAACATCCCATTCTAGATACATAGACAATACAGAGTTGTTCCCCCTTTGCAGCTATAACAGCTGCCCATTCATCCAGAAAAGCATTTGTGATGTCAAGCACTGATGTTGGATGCGAAGGCCTGGCTTAAAATCTCTGTTCTACTTCTTTTCTACCCAAAGGTGTTTGGTGGGGTTGAGGTCAGGGCTCTGTGAGGGCTAGTTATGTTTTTCCCCACACCAAACTCACTGAACATTGTCTTTATGGACCTTGCTTTGTGCACTGGGGCGCAATCAAGCTGGAACAGAAAAGGGCCTTCTCCAAACTGTTCCCACCAAGTTGCAAGCATCCAAAATGTCTTGATAGGCTGAAACATTGAGTTCCCTTCACTGGAACTAAGGGGTCTAGCCCAACCCCTGAAAAACAACCCTGTACCACTATCCTTTCTCCACCAAGCTCATCCATTTGTCACTCCACAGAACATGTTTCCACTGCTCCAGGGCCCAGTGGCACCATGCTTTATGCCACTCCATTTGACACTTGGCATTGCACTTGGTGATGTGAGGCTTACATGCAGCTGCTCAGTGGAAGCCCATTCCATGAAGCTACTGGCACACAGTTTTTGTGCGGGGGATAATGCCAGAGGAAGTTTGGAACTCTTCAGTTCAATCAACAGAGCTTTAGTGACTTTAATGCGCTGTGTGCTGCAGCACTTGGCGATCCTGCCCTGTGCCACTTCGTGGATGAGTTTCTGTTGTACCTAAGCACTTCCACTTTACAATAATACCACTCACAGGTGATCCATGGAATATCTAGCAGGGAAGAAACTCCATGAACTGACATATTCACAGTATCATGCTAGGTCTGAAAGAAACACCTAAATTCAGTGATTAAGAGGTGTGTCCTAATACTTTTGTCCATATAGTGCAAGTTTTAAGAGTTCAGAGCACACATAGCATTCTGATGGTCATGTACCCATGGCCAAAGGGTGAAATGAAGTAAAAGCAGCAATGAACACGGTTGTCCACGATGTGTCTCCGGTTCAGGCCGCTCTCATCATGGAGGTAGCGTTCAAACTGGTTGTCAATATATTGGATGATGGTCTTGAAGCTGCAAAGCCAAAGAAATGAAGAATGAAGAAAAGGAATGTCACATGATACTAGCCAACAGCACTATATTATGCAACAGCCAAAACACTTAGTATGGCAGACAGCAGGTTCACTTAGTAGCACAGGTAGATTATTTTTTTTTATTATTGTGTCAGCTTTCCTTACACTGCCTCAGAACCACAGCATTTATCTTGAGAATAACTATTTTGGCCCAACCTCCAGCTTTGGTAATAGCCTCCGCTGATACTTTGTGTTTGGGCATAATTACTGTGATTCAGTACAGGAGACTCCAGCTCAGCCAGGAAGCTGCTCAAAGCCCAGGGAGGCCATGTTATCTAACCATCTTCCCACACACTAATGACTTCCCACAGGCCAATTTGGCGTGGTCAAACTCATTAACAATGCAGGCTACTTCCTTTAGCTGTGAAATCCGCAGTCAACAAACTCACCTGATTCAGATGCGGTTAGAAATAAGAATCCAGTCATGTAAACATGTATTTTAAGCTGTAAACCTCAAGAAAATTAAATACTTAAAATTAATTGTATTTGAAAAGCTTTGGTTTTTCTGTAGCTCCCTGTTGAAGTGTCATGCTGGCTTGCCGGGTAAGGGCCAGATCATAAACACATGAATCTCAGGACAATCAACAGGAAGCAGAGATTGCTGGACAATGCCCAGCCCACAAACTCCAGCAACCAGAGAGGCAGGAAGCACTATGGCGTGGCAAGGTACAGCGACTCTCAGCAAGAAACACCAAATCAGGAGACTTTCTGTACAGTACACCTTAATGACGAGTGAGCTCAGAAATGTCCAAAACACTGTATAAAAATACACGCTGCCTCTGTAGATAGTGACATCATGACTACAAAAACATCTATTTAAATCAAGATAAGATCTTTATTTGTATTTGTGACAGTATCTCCAAAGACTATGTCCTAGAAGAAATGATCTCCTCAGGAAAAGCCAGCCCTGAAGTAGAAACTGATTAAATTCTCCATGCCTTTATACTGAAGATATAGGTATTTCTAGCAATTTCCTGCCAAGCAAGCAGACCTCAATAAGGTTACTGCTCAGTAAGAGAAAGACCAACAGAGAAAATGACCCTGTCTCAGCCAGTAGGCTGTTAGGGAACAGAATCATTTGTGGTTGAGTTTTTGACCCAAGCTAGATAATTCTTATTCTTCACAGAATGTAGGAAGTGGGCAGCAGAATAAAGTTTAGAGAAAGAAGTAGCACATGCAAAGAAATATCCCTGAGAAATACAAGAAAAAACCAAAGAACATGCAAACACCTAACAAGTGGATGTCATGAGTATGTACTGCCCAAGCATTCCAGAATGTTTATTCTCCAGAGCAAGGCCATCATTAGAATCTGGAAAGTATCCTCCTAGTGTGACTGTGAGGCATTGTTTAAAAAACAGGCATCACACTGGAAAAGGTAAGAAGTTTGGCTTAACAATATAATTTGTCTGCCTGTGCCTCTTCTGAACAATCCACAGCAAGAGGTTTTAACAGTGGAAACTACTAAATTTGGGTGACAAACTAAAATCCAAAATTTAAACCGTATAACCCAAAACACAAAACTACACAACAAGATATACAACAGAAACATTTAGTCCATAAGTCAGTGGGCAGCACTACAGACTCACAGCTTCACTGCTGTGGGTTCAAAATGTTCTTTCCATGTTTCAGAGGGTTTGCTCCCACAGTATACACATTCTAATGAGACTAAAATGAACAGATTACTTCAAATTCTGTGTGTGTACCCAATGAGGGACTACAAGTCTGTGTAGCGTGTCCCCTGCCTTAGATGAAGTTAAAGTTATGGCACAGGTTGTATATAGATCAAATGCCTTAAAAACAAAGTGCTTCTGAAACAATCATTAACCAATCAGTTGCTTCTATAGAAATGAAAATTTTGCGTCACAATTTAGCCTTATTTATGGTAAATGTTAGTTGCAGCATATGGGACATACACTTAGTGAAAAGAAGAACTTTCCAGGTAGCACAAAACACCTACCAATCCTGGCTGTTGATTGCATCTCCGTACCCAGGCGTATCCACCACTGTCAGGCGAAGCTTCACCCCCCGCTCCTCTATTTCTACGGTGGATGCTTCAATCTGCACAGTTCGCTCAATTTTCTCTGAAGCAACAATAGAATTTACACTGCATGCGCTATGAACACACCTCAGATTAGAGGAAAGAATTTTTGTTTAATGAAGTATTCCGCTGCTTCAGATTGCTTACAGGAGGCAAAACAGAACTATTCCTCAAAGAATATCAAAATCTATGAGTAAAATATAATTAAATAATCTCACTGGAGAGAAATAAGCATAAATGGAGAAAAATTACTGTGAGACACAAAAAACAGACTAAAAATGTACCGAAACAGGGCACTTGGATCATCTTGAGAAATATGACCTTGTTTAATGGAAGTGACCTTACCTGCAGCCCCAGGTATGTAGCGTTCGGGGTAGAGGTCCGTCAGGAACAGACTGTTGATCAGAGTAGACTTCCCCAGACCAGACTCCCCTGTAATGAACATGTTATATTAATGTTTTGGATTAGTTGCCACATAAACCAGTTGGTTCCTAGTGTTTATGTAAAATAATGGGCAACAAACCAAGTTCCCTAGTCTATATTGTCACTGTCGAATGAAAAACTTGCGTCTCCAAAAATCCATTATTGCAGGAGTGTATAAAAATGCATTTTCTAAAACAACATAAAGACACACCTGTCTTTACATAGCTGTCAGTGAATGATTTAATGTTTTAAACGAACATGGATTGTCTCAGCGAGGAAAATGTCAGTATCGATAGGATACAAACTAATCTTGCTTTATATTCACTGTTAACAACAATGTTACATAGCTACCCATCAACACTAAGTTGTTAAATTTAGCGATATAAAACAATCCAAACAGATAACCTCATGAATAGAAATGTTAACTAATACAAGCATAACTAGTTAAACAAATAGCATCTTTTATTTGGTCAATTACATATCAGTAGACAGAGGAGAATGGGCATATTCCATCTATAGTAAAAAATTCACAATTGTCTAAAAGGGAACATATCGTGCAATAACAATATATTACGTTTCAGAGTAGGGGATAATAAAAACAGAATCAACCCATTAGACAAAACTCACCCACAACCATCAATGTGAACTCAAAGCCCTTCTTCACAGACTTCCTGTGGACCTGGTTAGGCAGGTTTGCAAAGCCCACATATCCTGCTGCCTCGGGAAACTAGCAAGATACAATTATTCATCTGAGCATCCTGCAGCCAGTGCTAGGGCCTGCTTCTCTAGATGTAGATCATGACCGTCCACATTTTATTATTTATGTTTTCCATTTATGAAAATATAGCTATATGTCAATGTTCAGCTAAACAGAAGCTGGGTTAATGTCTTGAAATAGTGTTTTAGCATAACTAAAGCTCTGCAGAATATCCCATTTTTGTCCATGATAAATAACTGATCATATTCCATTTCAATAAACATACAGTACCAGTCAAAAGCTGGGTAACACCTTCCCATAAAAAGATTTATTTGTATTACTCTCTACATTTTAGAATAAAACTATAATATTGCTCAAAATAAAAACATCCAAACTATAACAGAAATGGAATTATGCACTAACCAAAAAAGTATTTTAAAATATTAATTTGCTTGGGAGGGAGCAGATCTGTAGGTTGGCATAATGATCCCACCATTGGGTCCTTGAGCAAGGCCTTCAACCCCAATTGCTCCAAGGACTGGCTGACCCTACATTCTCCTCCAAGCCATTTTCATGAACTGTCCTGAAGGTGGCCAGATCATGTGACGTGACACTATCACTCTCCTTTGAAGGCAGCTTGTCGTGTCCAAACTTTTGAATGGTATAGTACCTCTGGAACATTCACAGAAACTTTTTATGTCCCCAAAATTAACAAACTGATTCATGGAGAGCACAATAGCAGGTGATGGAAGATGCCAAGCAAAATGAACAAAAATTCAAAGCAGGATAAGGACATGAAGGTAAAAGAGCTGCTAACCCACGACGTCTAAAAGTCTTACCTTCCCCTTTTCTGCAGATTGAGACATTTTTCTGGTCTCAAGCCAACTAAAAATATGAAAAACAATAAGAACAGGAATGTATTACTTAAGAGTACATTAGCAATTATGCTTTTCATGTCTATAGTGAGCGTACTAGCTATTCCTGGGGGGGGGGGGGGGGGGGGGATTTGGATAAAAATATTCCAGATTTCAATGCCATCAAGTCATTGTAGGTCATATAGACAGCAAAGGTAAAACAAATTCAGATTCAACAAATTCAGTAAATTGTGTATATCTGAAGAGGATAAGTCCTGTTCCAACTCCTAAACAATCAAGGTTGCGGATTTTCTCATCAATCACCCAACTGCTTTTGTAATGCAAGGGTCCTTCTTGCAATCTATCCCAGGATGCTACAAAAGCATGAGAATATCCGGAGCTGTATACCAGTCCATCACAAGGTTCACACAAGCACACACCATAGTCCATGTCATCCAAATGTTCTGTTCGGCTGAGACACCGAGGAGGCAGTTACACCCCCAAAGCCAAACTACAATGACAAACAGAACACTAATGCTTTCAGATGCATCTTTCCCTACTAAGGTGGATACTTGTATTCCTTTGTGTATGTTTTAATGTCCATGTTTGAAAATGTTATTCCTGTTATTTATATTTGTCATATGTTAAGATATTTGTACACTACTTATTTCTCTTTTGCACTATTACCAAAATCATCTGTGACATAACAGTAAGGACTATAACATATACACTAAAGGAATATCAAATGGAATTTCATGTAATATGTTTGGATTGCAGCAAACAACAGGAAACCATGAAAAGCAAAACCGTCGACATAGGGGGAACTACTGCATATAAATTCCAAAGGAATATTGGTGAACAAGTGACTATCTTGCCTGATGGCTGAACTCACGTTTTGCTTAATCACTCCTCTTTCCAGACCTACTCAGACACACACACACTTATACAGTTGAAAGTGAAGCCTGGGGTCCAAGTGCACGGTGAAGCCATTTATCTGGCAACCCTGGATCACTTCATGTGATAGACCTTACACACTCCCCCCACATCTTGGAAAAAAGGGACATGATTAAATTCTCCTACAACAAATTTTGCTGAGTTGCCCATGACACATTTTGGCAACTACCTACCAGACTGCTACAGATAAAATGAGCTGAACAGGGAGGTTACAGACCATCTATCAATATAAAATTTATTTATGAAATATTCAGAAAAATCATCCCATGCTCTACTATTTTACAATCACTGACCTGTACAATGTTGCTGAGAAGATTGCACAAAGATCCACAGAATAAAGTTTTAGTTCACAGGCTGGTGGCTCCATTTTTGCTCTTGGCTACCCTCAGTCTTACTGTTCAAATTCTGCTGCCCTCTGTTGTTGTAGTTACAATTTTATATTGGTTCAAGTTTTTTAGGTGTAGATCAGGGGTAGCCAATCTTATCCGCAAAGGGCTGGTGTGTATGCGGGTTATCGCTGCAACTCCCTAATTAGATTACTAATTAGAGGACTGATTGGCTGAAAGAGTCCTCACACCTGGGTTTGAACAGCTGACCTACAGGTTATCCCAAAAACCAGCATACACACCAGCCCTTTGCAGATAAGATTGGCTACCCCTGGTGTAGATTTTCATCCATATATTGTTTTGCCAATGGTAATAGATCTATTAAAGATCTAATAGGGTAGAAACATTAATATTGATAAACAAACAATTGCGATTACTGATTATTATTACTGATTATTATTATGTATTATTACTGATACGATTACTATTATCAGTAATTATTACCATTACTATTATGTATTATGCCAGATTCTGCTCACAATAATAAGCCTCTAATCATCTCATCCTACTCTTTCCCATCACTCAGCACCACTGCTTCAGTGCTGGTGTGATTTGTCTCAAAATTTGAACAGTTCCAGATCATCCCCCACATACTGTGCCTGCAGAGTTTGGAAAAGATCAAATGATACTTTTTGAGTTATATTAAAGGGATTAAGTGTCAAAATTGTCCCATTTTTAAATATATTTATACGCTGCAGCTTCAAATTTAGGGCTCTCAGAATTTCAGTGCCTCTGCAAAGTCTAAAAAAGATCCATCAACCAGTTATTGAGTTAACGCCTTACATACCACAGTATCTGTGGCTTTAGACAGGTACACACACACACACACACACACACACACACATACTTACACACACACATACAGATAATCTGATAAACAGCCACCATTAAAACTTGCTGGCCAGGGGAAGGGTTTTTTTTTTTCTTAACATCGTCAACTACTGATAATATAATATCACGTGGCCTTAATGTATAGACATGTCTTCATTTTAGCAACCACCAAACTTGAGTTAAGCTTGAAAAAACCTGCTAAGAACAAGTGTTTGAATGCTTGGTGTCAATACTTGGAGTGCCTTCAGAGTGACAGATTTTTTAGTATATGACAGGGTAAACTGTAGCTTAGCAACTACAATGATAAAAACTTGTCACACAAGCTCCCTAAATGCACAAAGCAATGCAACATTTTAGTTTTTCTACTTTACAGTACTAATAAAATACTTTAGTCTAAGAAAAACAGGAAAGGGAAAATAAGCAGTCTGATATACTCCAGCTCTGGAAAATAAATTCTTAATTCTTTCCACCCAATACATGAACTGCCCATTCCTCTTTATGTTGACACCTTTAATTTTAGTCTAAACCACTTTTCTCATGTGTGTGCAAAATATTTCTAACAAAAACATGTTAAATTCCTTTATACGTTAGGGATGAAAGAGCAATGTTACAATAAATAATGCTCAAAAATCAGATGTTATGTTCAAATTTCATTGTAGAAATCCAGTATACTTCAAGTGTTTACAGATATGAAACCTAAACTATAGGTAATCAGTGATCTAGTGTTTGTGATTTCAAACAATTACGCTCTTACTAATAAACGCTACTTTAATTCAAATTATAAAACCAGATACAATTAAAGTAGATCTTAATTCGTTTACGTAGTTATGAAATATACAAAAGTTCAAAACCAGTTGGATGCATTTTGTAAACATTTTTGCAACATCAGATTTTTCTGATAATACTGTTTATTGTAGGAAAAGAGGATTCGGTTTCAGACAAATGATTTTCCACACACTGGGTACAAACTTAAGTAAGAAATATAAAATGCGGTACTGGCTTCTGGCCATGTACCGAGGTCATATAGATATAATCGATAACGTCTAGAAACGTGAATTTAATTTGTTACAATTCTGACTTACTACCCACGCTTCACTTCGAAGTTGGCCTTTTAAACACCACTTCAAATTGATTGAAAGACTGGACAGCACTTCAAAAAATAGCAGTACTCACTACATGTAATTTCATATAATAATTTATACTCATTTATTAATTTTAACTTTGATACTAACTCTACGAAAATGAGCCATGTTTTTCGTTTTTAAAGAGCACTGTAGGAAAACTGGGTCCTATAATAGACAACCGGATTACTTCCTAAATATGCCCACGCCCTGTTTTAAGTCCACAGACACAATCGGTAAAATGGATTCAGCTTTTTTTGACAGAAGATCAGAACTATATCATAAATAATATCACTTTTCGGTTTAAATATAACTGGTTTAAACTTGTATTACATTCAAATTTTAAAATCCAATAAGCTAGTATACTTCTGGGTCGTCAAGTTTTACCCACTGCAATAACTTTTTTTTCTCTTTTACAAAGTTTTTCCATGATAAGGATCAAGTGCCAAGTAACCAAAACCAGTCTTAACTCGGTTAATGAAACGAATCCTTACCTCTGATTAATGTACGTAAATAAATAATTACTTAGGACGTCCTGTTTCTACCTATTCCAGGCCAATCTAGGGAATCCGGAACCTCCCAAATATATTCCGCCTTTATCCCATAATGCCAATTTTTCCGCCAGCGTGGGAGGGACCCGAAAAATTCCAAGAAACTGCCGCCATTGTGACTCCAAGCCCTAGTGCTGCTATATTTTTAAGCAGTCGACAGCTGAGAGCCAAAATGGCGTCTACAGGGCACGTATACTTCACTACGCCGTATTCGTTCCCTTGAATTGAATTCGCTGCATCTCCGCACGTTTCAGTTCCTTAGACTGCACAAAATACCATGTACGTGCATGCCCATGTCTTTCGTGGTGAAATTATATTATTTATATCTGTCCCACAATTTATTTAAGCGTAATACAATAATTAAATATTAATGTCAGGTTTATTTTTATTTAAATAAATTGTGGATCATCCAGTATCTGAAGAATACAACTGTTAGAAGTCTAAACTATGACACATCAAGTAGGCAAGGATGTTGAGTAATGTTTCATTTTCTTTGAGCATCTTCCTTTCGTTTCGGTTCTTTATTCAAAGTAGAAAACAAATGGTATAATGTCACATTAAAATTTAATTCCTTAAGAAAATATACCTGTTAGCTGTTACACTGTGCCCCTTGTAATCTGCTATATGTGTATGTTGAAGCCATTTGGAGTGTACTAGCTGTCTCACCTACTTTTCAATTTGATGGATGGATGGATGATAGTGTGATGGAAATTTAGATCATTAAGAAGTTTGATAAGAGAAAATTTTGATTATAATATTGTTTGCCTCACCTCTTTCTGCAAGACAGGAATAAACAGAAAACGAGTGGTGAAGTAGGTGAAAGATCAAGAGTGCAGCAGTTCATAATAGATATGTAGGCTACCGATCCGATATTCGGATCGGTATCGGCACCGATCCAGACCTTTTAGACGGATCGGACCATATAAGTGACGGATCCACGGCCGATACTTAGGCCTATATATATAGTTTTCGGCAGCGTGTAAAAAGATAGATATCCTATTTCTAGTTCAACCGATCTGTACAATCAATGGCACATCTCTTTCCTATTTTAGATGTTTTTGTGGTATTGATGATTCACGCTAAGAACATCAGATAAGAAGATGACGATCTGTATTTTCCAATTTTATCAAGTAGCACAGCGATTTGCAATCTTTGTAAAAACAAAGTTTTGAGATATGAAGTAGCGTTTAGTGAAAACCCCCACTAAACAAAGCGCACGCATTTGTGCGAGACAACGCGAGTTATATGAAAAAAGCAGTGGATGATCTGGGAGTTGCTATAGCTTGGACTGTTATGCTCATTCGCAACAGCTTGTGATACGGGGAGGAGGGGGCTGCTATCGCAGCGAAGTGTATGTGACGCTGTTGCCAGCGGGAGAAAAACTGTGGAGCATTTTAAGCATTCGCTACATGCTCTATTGGAAGATATTCCAGTTGAACTGCAAAATGACTCAAAAACACAGTCTAAAATAAGATGTATAAACGAGGTGGAACAGTAGAACTATCACTATGTTGTCTATGTTTGTAGTAGCCTAATTAAAGATTTTGTGGCATACATTTTTTATTTCTACTTAGCCTAATAGTTTAAAAATATGAATAACGTATCAAGTACAAATATATCTAATGTATATTTATTATATTAAGATGTTAAAGTAAAAAGCTCTTGTATCAGAATCTGTATCGGCAGTTGTGTATCGGAACTGAAAAAAATATGGATCGGCCTATATCCTTAGTTCATAAGAACAACGTGAATGTTAAAGTTCTACCAACATTATTTTCTTAGAAATGTATGCATGTTGAAGGTCATATGACTTGTGGGTTTGTGTTACAAAAGAACCTATATAGTTGGGTAAGGAGTTCGGAGTTCTACAAACACTGCACTGAGCATGTTGTTGCGTGACTCTCCTCCGCAAAGTAAAGAATTTCAGTTAAGTTTCCTTATAGTTTTTTGGACCTGATCAAAAAATTGAATCGACAATGGATGGATGGATAGCTGCACCTGCACTTTGGAGTAGTACAGAAACGCTCAGTATGGGGGGCTGGGGTAAAATTCTACTTCAATGAGAGAGAATTAACTTGTTATGAATCTGGGCGGGTTTCACGCGAGGACGTACGTGGCATGATGCCAGCAGAAATGTTTTAGGACCCACTTGTGGCTCAACAATACAAAACAGGGTTTATTAAATTAACTAAAAACACAAGAAAACACTAACAAAACAAAGGACCACGAGGGGTCAAAAGTAAATGGGGATAAACAAAGACAAATTACAAAACAGGGGCAGATAGGCAGGCAGAACGTACATCTAACACCAAACATTAACCATCACAATCAACAGAATATTCAACAAACCACTGGAGAACTGAACAGAAGCAGAGACTTAAATATTGAAACTAAAACTGTGTAACAAGACTAACACGTACAGGACAGGTGAGACTAATTAACAAAACCTGGAAAACAGGCCATAGATGAAACTAATTAAATCAAAGGAACTAAAACAGGGAAACTAATAACTAACCAAGAATTCAGGAAAAATAGAATCTAACACTGGAAGTAACAAAACCCAAGAAAACATAACTAAGGCTCAAAACAATAAACCAAAACAGAATACAAAAATTACCAGACGCGGGAACTAGAAAAACTCATACAAATGAAAACACTAGGAACAAATAAAAAAGGAGGTGGAATTCAAACATGGGACAGAAGGGTTCACAAACAACCACATGTTCAACAAGTTGAGCTATGCAGCTGACAGGGAGCAGAGGAAAACACAAAGACTGCCAACACGAGGGACGGGATGACCAGCAACGCCTGCAGGCCAAACGGGGAAGGGATAGAGAGTGGGACAACAGGGGGCTGAGCCTGACCGAAGTTCGATGTAGCCAATTAATTAGCACTGCGGTTTCTGGAGTTTGGAAATGGGCGATTTTACTTGGGACTGGTTGGAGAAAAATAGCTGGATATGAGCTGGTTGTTGATGTTAGGAAGGAAGGATTTGATTACCTTTTCTAGGAAGGTGGGGTCAGGGTTGAAGAAGATAACGAATGATTTCTCTGCTTCGCTCGGCCTAGTGGAATGTGAGGTTGCAATGCAGTGCAAGTAGCACTTTTGTCATGAATGGTATTGGTGTCACGTCTCACGTGTGCCCCAGTTAGAAATATGGTTAGTTATCGGACATGTTTTATGAATTGCTTAATAAAGTGATCGATGGTCATAACTGTCACTTGTAAGTTTCATTGTTCAGAGCCGTAGCCTTATACTGGACTTTTGCAGACTTTCAAAAGTGGTAGTAGAAATTTCACTATAAACTTTGGGAATCCCGTTACACCACGACTTCTGAAATTTACTACATTTGAAAATGGAAGTGTTCTGATCACAAATGAAAAGCGTAAAAGAGAATAATTCTGCCCATATTTGGCATTCATGTTTTACCGGAAATCAGATCAAAGCACAATGCAGATTGTACGACGTGATGCCAGTCGACAGTAATTTATTGGAGACTCAGACAGCCTAATAGTAAAACATCAAATTAACGTACCATACGTGTTAGGCTATTTGCTTCGCACATAGAATATAATGCGGATAAATTTGGGCGAAAATGAGACAAAATCACAACTAGACCTACGTGTCAGTATTCCTTCTCTTTTTCTGATGTTTGAAGTAACATTTCAGAAAATGCACCACGAACAAGCACATGTCGCATGTCTAGAGGCTGTTGATGTATAAAGGACACTAAACAGATAGTTTACCCTACAGCTTTAGACAAATTCATATTCCCGACATAAACCCAGCCATCAATTTATTTCGATGTTGAAGCGATTAAGGAATGTTATATAAACGTTAACATGTTTTTGCTATGTATTAATTATTTGTTCTGTGTTTAGCATATTCTAACCGTGGCAATAATGACACGATTACTTTAACGTGTTATCAAATATTGAGTTACTGTATGTATATAAACTATTGTAAACTAAATTATTGAAAAAGAGCTAGAAATCTTTACTATTCCGGCGCGCTCCTATTCATCATAGAGCAAGTGCTCTTTCACTAGTCCGCTCGGCAGCTTCATTGGTTGAGAGGGTGTTTTCTTAAATCTGATTGGACCAAAGTTCTTCCCCTTGGTTTAAGACTTGGGAAGATAGCCCACCCCACATACAAAATATTCTTAGTGATTTTAATGCACCTCAGTCTGTGTGATTGGAAGAGCGGAGAGAGCTTTGTCCTAGAGAACGTATTTCCTTAAAGAACAATGCACCCTTAGGAAGAGAGTTACAGCTGAGGCAAGTTGGATTTTAATTATCTGCAGCAGATCGTAACAGAAATAGTGGGCCACCTAGTTAATTTGGCAATTAAGACGAAAACAAATTTCGAAAATGGTTTCTGCTGGTTTGGAGATCCTTGGTTTAACGCTGTGCATCCTTGGCTCGTTTCTTGTTATGGTGACATGCGGTTTACCCATGTGGAAAGTTACGGCTTTTATCGAGAGCAATATCGTCGTCGCCCAGACCTTATGGGAAGGACTATGGATGTCCTGTGTGGTGCAAAGTACAGGGCAAATGCAGTGCAAGATACACGACTCCCTGCTCGCTCTCAGCAACGACGTGCAGACGGCGCGAGCCCTCACTGTCATCTCCGCATTAATGGGCGTTTTGGGGTTGATGGTAACCATCGCTGGCGCTCAGTGCACCAACTGCATAAAAACTGAGACGGTGAAAACTAGGGTGGTGAACGCCGGAGGGGTGATCTACATAATCAGTGGTATGTTCGTCCTGGTTCCCTTGTGTTGGACGGCTAACAGGATCATTTCTGACTTCTACAACCCTAACGTACCAATAGGGCAAAAACGAGAGATTGGAGCCTCACTTTACATCGGATGGGCAGCGACTGCGCTCCTGCTACTCGGCGGCGCGATATTATGCTGCTCTTGTCCATCGTCCGGGAGCGCGTCTTACTCGGTCAAATACGCCCCGACAAAAAGAGGCACATCCAACGGAGACTATGACAAAAGGAATTACGTGTAACTTTCCCAAAACGACAGCTGTCTCCCTTCTGATTTAAAACTTTGGGAAAGCAAGTTTTTGAACTTTTTTTTTTTTTTTTTGCACTTGTAACTTCAAAACGAAATGCTTAGTATGAACGACATCGTTGGAAATGGAACTGACTCGTCTGAACAAAAATGCATAAATTTGGAATTTTTTTTTTTGTAGTTTTTTTTTTTCTTACATTATAAGGATAATGTAACGTAGAAAAGTATAATAGGTACATGCGTTTCGATTTGCAGAGCAAAGATCTGGCATGTTCATGAATCAATCTAATTTGTTATATGGCTGTTGTATTTTTAAATGTTTACCATAACACAAACTGTTCTGGACCGAGGAAGTATTGAAAATATGTTCTCTATTTGTGTTTTTAAAAACGTAATCTAAGAAATGTATAAATAGATAAACTCATATACCTGAACTATTTTGCGCTTTTGGTAATAGCTTGTTTTCATAAGTGTTCGTTTAAATGTTGCATTTTTTTTTCTGTCATCCGATATTTCTCAAGTTGGCTAAAAAATTTCCAATACCAGTTGTGGTGAATGGAACAATTCTAATACGGACATATAGTGAAAATTAAACATAATCTCGGTTATGCTGAAAACATTGCACAATGTATAGCTTGGCTGTATTTGCTTTTCAAGTAGAAGGTAGAAAATCGTAGTTTTATTGTTTGGATTGTACACCACATCTCACCAAATATTTAGTAAGAAGAATCAAAGCTCAGTTTTTCAAAGGGCACGGCTCGTATTTGTAGCTTTGCTAGATATTTACAAACCACATCTCCTGCACCAAAATATTTTTGTATATATACCCAAACCAATTCTGTACTTTGAAGTCATTGAGTTGTTATATTTTTAAAACGAAAGTATAATAAACAGTTTATAATTACGTTTGATGTGATTGGTATTAATTAATCGTCAGTTGAAACGTTTTTTTTTTATATATATTGGGCTTTTTGATTTATTTTATTTTAACCTGGATTTTAATTTAATACATTTTCAAGTCCATTATGCTGAAGCATCCTCAACGCATTTAAACGGATTACTTTCACTTAATCGTGTTTTAAATTATTCAAGCACCATGGGCATGGTTGTCTATAATGAATGCTTGAGAAGTACAACATGGAAAAAAATAGCTAAAGTAACCCTTCATGCACTTGGTTATTAGGAAAGGCTTCAGGCTTTTTGATGTTATACAAAATATTTAAAACTATGATCTAATTTATGATTTACAAAAGTGATGTGTTCCCTCATAATATGGTTTTACTCTGCATTCCAATACTGGGCTCTCCAACTCCCTTCCCAGTGGGATGGACAATTTCAGTAAACCATTAAAAGGCAAATGACAATATGTCCATCCTACCCAAAGTCTCCCTTCCCCCATTCAAACCACCGCTTGTACCCTCATCTAAGAAGAATAAAAGGCAAGAGATGCAAGTCAAAAGAAGGCTGGCTGGGAATGTGTTATATTCCAAAGCTGTTAAGTGCAAGCAATTGATATAACATTTCACCTATTACCGAATTCAGTGTGATGACCAATAGTCCTTTAATGTTAGTCCAAGAATATTTTCATGGGGGTTTTGGGAACATGAAAAGTTTTCACATAAGTTTAAAAGATGTATGCTGTCACAGAGGGCCTATGCTGTGCATGTCATTTATTTGTTGGATACTTTTTCGACAATTCATAAAGAGAGGAATTTAAAATATTTCAGTATTCATTTTCATAATGGTATGTTTCATGCTGCTTTTTCAACACTGACTGTTCATGAAGTTGGTATAATATTTAATCCGAACACTTAAACCGTTGCAAGGGAATTTTAAAGCTTAGTTAAAGACCTACCAAATAAGACTCTTATCCAGTCATATGCTTATAACAACTTTGATGGCAGGCATGCTATTGAGAACAATTGGCTATGGACAAAGCTGGCTGTGAAGTGAGATATTCTCTGCATGGTTGTGTGGTGTCTTGGTAGGTAACATTATAGCTTGGCACCTGCCGCATTTGTGGGTTTCTGTTTCTGCTCAGTTCTGGCTTTGTGGGTGAGAGTTTCCCTGCTAGAGATGCACCAATTTGGTGTTTTGAAATTGCTCTTTGGGAGTCTGTTCTGTGATGGAAATATTTACTGTTATGGTGGTATCCAATTAAGAACAAAATATCTGGGTACCCTGGATTTCTATCTGAATTTACTGTCATTCTTATTAACATTTAGCTGTTATACATAACGTAAACGTTCAAAAGGCTTTTGCAAAAACCACATAAGAAGGTGATATATAGCTGAAGTGTCCATTTTGTGACAAGATTTTTATGACTTTAGGAAGCAATGCAAAGCATCATGGTCAAATCAGAATCCAGTGTTTATGTGATCTAAAAAAAACAAAAAAAAAAACACATTTTCTTCACTAAAGGGATATTTTAAAAATTGGGACTGATGGCAATCTCCCATTGATTTCCTTCCCTAATTGGCATTCCAACTTCGGCACCTGTTTTATACTTGGTACAAAGGAGTCAGAGTACTATCTACTAAGGCAGAGGCAACCTCTTTGACATGTTTATTGTGTGATTGTTAGTTCCAGTCTATTTGGAATAAGGTTTAGAGCCTGTGGGGGGGAGGGTATTTAACCCCCCCCCCCAACACACACACACACACACACACATTATTCCTGTTTGTGGTGAAAGAGAGAGGGGGGGTGATGGGGCAGCAATGTCACCGAAAGAATTCTTACCATGGCAACCATCTAGAGCTCGTAACTGCGAAAATACAGGGACAAGTAAGGCAACCATATTTGTACAATGAATATAAGTGGTTATGTGTTGAGATGTTTTTCATTCATACCTGCCAAGAGAAATGAGATTCTTAGCATAAACATATGACACATTAAAGAGTGTAAAAGAGAATGAAACTGTGAACTGATTTGTGAATAGTTATTACTCAACACAGACATAGGTTTGGTTTCAACATTGGTAGGGACCAAATCAGTCCCAAACTAGCACCTACTAAACACACACAGTACTTCCACAAAACTGGTAGGAACATGTCCCTATCATCCATTCCCAAATCTATACCATTGCTATTCAATGGTAGAAATGTTAAAGAATTCAAAATATGTATTTTGTGTAAATCCAGTTTCAAAATTTTTTGAATTTCAGATGTCTTCACTATATATTTGGTTTTGTCTCATTTTCTAAATTCTGACCATCTACTTACTCACAATGTAAGTAATTGAAATCAATGAAAAAATAAATAAATTTTTAAGTATCCAGCATTATTTGGTCACCTTTCTTTAAAAATGCCTTTCTAGCATACATTCTTCTGCTGAAGTTGTGCGTGTCCAACAGAACTGCATGGGAAATTGCAATCAATGAAAAATAAATAACAAACAAGTCATGATCCACACAGCACAGGATCCTGGGTCAAACTGCTGGCATTGTTTTGACACTAATTGCTTTGTGGCGGAAACTTGTGACGTGTTACTATTCAGAGGCCAGAATTATTTTTAGCTCACAATGATAGTCCAGTAACTGAACATTGCACATGAAAACAGCAGTAGTTAGAATACCTCTGTGGAAATTTTATGTGACAATTATTTATATTTTAGAACTTTATGTTTTTCTGCTAATTACATTCTATATATGCTGCTCTAAAAAATTAAAAGAATTAGCATCAAGTCAATAAAATTTCTGGGATATGGATCTGGTCATTCAAGTAGCAGAGGGAGTTGTTAATCAGAATCAGCTACTTTGGTAACTGGTGCACTATTGAGACGACCGCCAAACAGGAATGGTTTAACAGGTGGAGGCCACTGACATTTTTCCCTCCTCATCTTTTCTGGCAGTTTTTTTCACTAGTTTTGCATTTAGCTCTGGTCAGTGTCATTACTGGTTGCATGAGTTGATACCTGGACCCTACAGAGGTTGCACAGGTAGTCCAACTTGCCATTGCCAGAAGGTTTTCTGTGTCTCCCAGTACAGTCTCAAGGGCATGGCGGAGATTCCAGGAGACAGGCTTCACAGTTACTCTAGGAGAGATGGACAGGGCCATAGAAGGTCCTTAAACCATCAGCAGGACCAGTATCTGCTCCTTTGTGCAAGGAGGAACAGGATGAGCACTGCCAGAGACCTACAAAATGACCTCCAGCAGGCCACTGGTGTGCATGTCTCTGACCAAACAATCAGAAACAGACTTCATGAGGGTGGCCTGAGGGACCGACATCCTCTAGTGGGCCCTGTGCTCACTGCCTAGCACCATGGAGCTCGATTGGCATTTGCCATAGAATACCAGAATTGACAGGTCCGTCACTGGTGCCCTGTGCTTTTCACAGATGAGAGCAGGTTCACCCTGAGCACATGCGACAGACGTGAAAGGGTCTGGAGAAGCTCTGGAGAACATTGTTCAGCAAGACCGTTTTGGTGGTGGGTCAGTGATGGTCTGGGGAGGCATATCCATGGAGGGACGCACAGACCTCTACAGGCTAGACAACGGCACCTTGACTGCCATTAGGTATCAGGATGAAATTCTTGGACCCATTTCAGACCCTACTCTGGAGCAGTGGGTCCTGGGCTCCTCCTGGTGCACGACAATGCCTGGCCTCGTGTGGCGAGAGTATGCAGGCAGTTCCTGGAGCATGAAGGAATTGATACCATTGACTGGCCCCCACGTTCGCATGACCTAAATCCAATAGAACACCTCTGGGACAACCACCAGGTTGCACCTCAGACTGTCCAGGAGCTCAGTGATGTCCTGGTCCAGATCTGAGAGGAGATCCCCCAGGACACCATCCATCATCTCATTAGGAGGATGCCCTGACATTGTTAGGCATGCATTTAAGTACATGGGGGCCATACATACTACTGAGTACGATTTTGAGTTGCTGCAATGAATTTTCAGCAAAATGGACTAGCCTGCTGCATCATTTTTTCACTTAGATTTTCAGGGTGTCTTTGAATTCAGCCCTCTGTAGGTTTGTAATTTT